GTCTTCGAAATCATGATGGAACCAGTAAAACAAAGAAATATTGAACGTTCTTAACAAAGAACTTTGCAAAATTGAGTGGTTCTGTTATCTCGTTTCAATGATGTGGCCTACCAGCAACATGTAGTATTAATGGGAAACTTAAGTGAAATCCTTTGAGTAAATGTTGAATTTATTGCCATTCTTCCATTTGTGTGAGTTACATATTTATATGCACATAATAGTAGGAAATCATACTTCGCCTTCTCGAATAACAAATAACACGCGGACTTCCGTGTTTAATTCCTTTGTTGTTCATCAAAAATGTTTCTTCTTGGAGTCCGTATCAGCAATAGATCCGCTAGGCACTGGTCTCTACCGCATGAAACAACGAACGCTACTGCAAGCCGGGTCGTTGTTTTTAAACATCAGACTTTTAACAGACAGATATTTTTATTGAACAATAAAAAATTGCGATAAAACATTTCTTAAAATCATTTTAAGATGAACAGATCCGTGAATTGTCATTATTCTGGTTGATTAACAACTCAGTTTATTTGCAGCGTCAGAAATAACGCATTTGCACACTCACTAAGTCGAAATATAAGACAATCAATTGGCTTTCAAGAAAGATGGCTTTAATAAGTGAAACAGGTCACTCACGCCTTAGACATTTTCAAATTCGTCTTCGGACGGATTGCCCTTAAAAGGAAATATTTCATAAAGATCTTCCAGCCTCAAATCAAACTTCCTGAGCAGCTGTTAAAAACGGTTTGTTGTCAGTGCCTAGGACCATCACGTTAGATGAGAGAAAGCTATTTCACAAAGAAGTGACACCTATCGAGAGGAAATTGCCATGGCATAGAGTTATAAAGCATATTGTTTACATAAAGTGTTATCGAGTGGAATTAATGTAGCATGCTAATCACGATGAACGGATCCTTTTGTAAAGCGATTCATCAATACTTTCCCACTTCTGACTTAAAAGGATTTCGTTCAACTTTCATTGCTAACTGTGTCTTCAATAATTTTCTCACCTATACCGCCATCATGTGGAACATAACAGCAATATATGCGGTACGAAAAGCTTCATCTTTGCCAAAGACTTTGAGAACATTTTTGCTGAGCCTCGCTGTTTCGGATGTTGGTGTGGGTTTGTTTACTCAACCACCTTACACTTCAGCTCTCGTCAAC